CAGCCATACACGACAGCGGGGCACCTCTCGATTGCTGCATCGGTTTCATTGATGGCACGGTCCGTGGCATTTGCCGTCCCGGTAAAGGTGTCCAAAAGACAGCATACAATGGCCACAAGGTACATATGGATAAACCTCTCAGGCGTACGAATGCAAATTGATCATTTCTACTTGTAGAGAAAGCATGCATTGAAGTTCCAATCAATCACAACCCCTGATGGCATCATCGTCCATTTATATGGCCCTGAACCAGGGTCCCGACACGATGCGTACTTGCTTGAGCGAAGCGGAATTCTTGCCATTTTATCGGACGTGCTGGTGACTGATACGAAGCGATATGTCATTTACGGGGATCCGGCGTATGGTGCGAACGATGTCATTGTTTGCGGCTACAAAGGGGCGCGCCTGGACCAATATCAGTCAGCGTTCAACAGTCGCATGAGTGCTGTTCGTGTGAGTGTAGAGTGGGGCTTCGGAATTGTCCGAAACCTTTGGACATTTGTAGATCATGCAGGTGGTCAAAAACTGTGGGGGCAAGCCGTCGGTATGCAGTATGTTGTTGCTGTTATTTTGACAAATCTTCATACTTGCATTAAAGGCGGAAACCAAGTTTCAGACTACTTCGGTTTACGCCCCCCAAGTGCCGAAAAATATCTTTACGCCCAGGGTCGCTAGACAGAATTAACTGAGCTCATAAGATATGTTAACCATTTCGACATGAGAGACAACTTTAATTTTTGGTAACTAAAGATTTCAGCACTTCAAGAGTTCCCTGTAGAAACTCTAACTGAGCCTCCCGTTCACGTCGCTCTAAGGCAAACCGCGCCTCACGCTCCGCTTTGTCGAGTTCGTATCGCTTCTCATCCAATTCCAACTTTTATTGGGCAAGCATGTTGTTCTCATGCCGAGCTCGGACCTCCTCAGCCTTGACTTCGTTGGCTTTGGCCACCATCTCGACCAGAGAAGCAACAACTACACCCGCCTCCCCCACCCTCTGTGAACTGCCGCGGCACTGTCTCTTGCTTGATGGCGCATCCTCGCACCCGTCAACTTCGACCACCTCTAACGACTTCCTTTTCATGGTTGACATCGCCGCGTCACGAATCTTCTCGCCATTCGTTTCGCGTCGCTCGTTCTGTTTTGCCTTTTCTTCCTTGTCCGTCTGCTTTTGAATGAACGCAGCATCAACCTAAACAAGTAGGAGAACGATTAACACCGTCTTCGATGACGAGTCATACCAAGCCGTGGATATCCTGGAGTAGCTGCTCGCGCTCCTCGTACTCTTCATCCGTCCCAGATGCGCAGAGCGCGGCCATAGTGTTGGCATGAAACGCCGTAATCAGGTCATCAGATCGTTTTCGCGTGGCGTTGACTGTGATTCCATCTCCATAGAGGCGCTGGAGATGCTCTGTTACTTCCGTCCATCGCTTGCGGACCTCTCCGTGGGGTGCTTCGTAGGGCTGCACGTGTATGACCTCCTTCAGCAACTCAACATCCGTGCAACCCTTAAAGCGGAATGCAGTTTTGCGTCGTTGGCTAGCCTGTACCTCGGACTCGGTATCCTCCTCCATTGTCCAATGGTTAATGTTTCTCACAGCGAATTTTGTTGTCTCTGTGAGGAGTTCTGACGACGAAATTTCTGGAACAAATTTCGTTCTGTGACACCCACAGTGATTTTCTCAGAGGTAAATTTACTTAGCAAAATCACTCTATTGACCTAAAACGTCCCTGAGTAAGTGGGTGGGACTAATTGCTTGCTACGATAAGAACAATCCTGAAGTACACTGTACTAGGAGTACAACCTAACGTTAACGTTAAACACCGTTACGAAGGCAAACAACGTTGTAGAACGTTAATTGTACCAACGGTGAATACTAACTACAGTACAGTATAATACTACTGAAGTAGTGTTAAACAGTATTCTATGTAAGCTGCACCATTGCTGGTAGTAATTCGTGGTAATTCCTTCGAGTAGTAAATTGATTTGAGTTCGAAATAATATTAGTGTGATTTCTGCATTCAGTGTTGGATTAAATGTAAGCTTATAGTCGTCGACGAAGGTCTTAGTGTAGGGCTGCGCAACTACTATTCATCACACAAACTCAAATATTCTGTTAATGTATTTCAAAGCACAAATTAATACGTCACACAACAGCCCCCCACCCGCCCTTCAAGTACATCGCTATTATATGTATGTACTGTACAAATATGTAGTTGGGATTGGGGCTGTGTTCAGTTGGTAACATATTTTATATACTACGTAGTAGTTGGTGATGTGTGGCATAATGTCGGCCGGGCGTAGGAAGATGTGCTTTGTGTTAGGTGATTTATGGATGAGGAAGTGAAAACATACAATCTCCATAGCACTTTGCGAATTACACTGTGGTAGTCAATTCTCCGGAGATCGTAACCTCGAAACCTTGTTTGAAAAAGCTGCAGTACATGTAGGGATAAGTGATGGGAGCTGGTACACGGTGGTAATATGGTACTGATTTGAGGTGTAATGTTACTTGGGATTGATTGAATGCTAGTTGCCCCCCCTCTTATTTTACTGTTCAAAGTCCTTCCCCCTTGACTACATTGAATTCTAGACTGTACTAGAGGGGGCGCGAAGATGCATTCATAGCGCAAATACACAGCAAATCAACCTGCAAATCTCACAGCATTGCATCATATTCTCATTAAAGCTGGGATTTTTTAAGTCACTATATTGTTGGCATCATCCTTATTGAGCGATAATTTTCGTTTAGAATTTCGTAAAGTGCTCAATTATGACTATCGTATATCGCTAGTAAACACATACACCTTACTGTCGGTGGAACGGGAGGTCATCAAGGCTTCAAACTATAAATTTTCAACTATCAAACGTTTTAAAAATCAAGTGAAGCATAATTTTCGGGAAATAATCTCGAGTGGCCATGATCAAAACTACAAATGCTACGACAATCTAACCCTCAAATAATGCAAGCCATGTTTTTATTGGAGCAACTCGTTCCATGAACTACTGTATTAGTATTGCAGCAGAGCTGAGCACTCAGGAAATCACTGCAATAAATAAATTTGTCATATTCTCATGCACAATCAAATACTATAGGTATAGTAGCAAACAATGACTCTGCGGGTCGATACTTGACCATTCGCAACGTGCAACAATGCTCATCAATGAGAAATGACGCCGTTGATTCAAC